AAGACGTGAAATGGCAGGTGGCGGCTGAGGCAGGGCCCCTTTCTAACCACTCTGAGGACTCCTGCCAGCGCCCACCTCTCACCCCACGTGACTGGGAGCATGTGCTCCCCTCTTGTTCTCCTCACTGCGGCCTCCACTCTGCTCCCCGTGGTTGGGGTGGGCAAAGTTTTATAAGCCAACTGTGGCCTCAGATCTACAACATGCCCTCCGAGCTGGCTTCTGCCAACAAAGCAGCCAGTATTCTGATCTCCATCTGTCTGTCTGTCCTTCTCTCAGTGGGCCCCAAAGCCCAATAAGATGAGTTACCCCCACATACCAATCCTGCCCCATCCTCTCCTCCCAGGTCTGGCTCATCAACCACTGTGGCTTTTCAGTTAAATCTACCTGATGGATGGGCACATTCAAGATGCTTCTGCAACTGTGTAGGTTTAGATTTTTTTCCTAAGAGGAACTAATCCTCTTTCACACTCCTTGAACTAAGAATTACAACTAAATTAAGACAATTCAGCCCTCCCCCAGCTTCTCAAAGACATGCAGTAGGAGCACCCCGTGACTGGAAATGATGAAAGGACATTCAGTGCAACATGTAACATCTTTAAAAAAGGAAAAGGGAATGAGTGAGTTACAAACAGCACGGGGCATGCTTCTGCCGGAGAGGAGGGGCCACCTGGAGGAGAAACTCCCGTTACCTGGGGAACATCATCAAAGAGCCGCTGAGCAAAGTGACTAAGCACGTCGTCCACCGACTTCCCGCTGCCGAACTGGATCACTGTGCCTGTGGCCTCGATGACGGCCACCCGCACCTTCCAGTGTTGGTGGGAGATGGTCTGCATCAGTGGGCCAATCAAAGACTCCGACTGCATGTGGAAGTGGTCTGTGGACAAGAGAGGCCACCAGTTACCTGGGCTGCTGCCCATGAGCCTCAGCCACGCCCAACTCCATGGGCTCCCAAGAGGACAGGCCTTGGACCTTCCCTCCTCTCTCAGCTGGTTCCTGCTGCGGGCATGGCATGCGGCTCAGGCCTGCCAAGCACAGCTTTGCTCCCCCGGCACCAGGAGAGGCACAGGACGGGTGTGTGACCCAACCAGTACCTCTGTGACCCACAGGCTTGGGGGACCACAGGGAAAAGACTGGAGCTTGACCCCACCTCAGCCAAAGATAGGAGCTGTGAGGGGAGAGCCTGGAGCTGCATCCTGAGAGGGACGCTGACCAAAGGGAAAAACCAAGCCAGGAGGACACCGTGTCCCCACACCCAGCTGTGCCTGGAGCCAGACACCCAGCACTACTGCAGGAAGCCAGACCAGCACCGCTTCAGGCGACGGCACTCTGTTTCCTGTGGGTAAAGTCTTCACAGATGGTCAGGACCAAAGGGACTTTGTGAGAGCCAGGCTGATCCCCTGGTTTTGGAGTTCTAGCCCTGGTTCTCCTGGTGCTTGAGACCTGTGAAATGGCTATTCCAGAGATACTCTGGGTGAGCTCTTTAACCCCTCAGGTAGGTCCTCAGATCAAGGCAGGAGCTTGATCTACTCCAGCTGGGTGTGACAGGAGGGAGTAGAGGAGAGGCCTGTCACCCAGAAGCGGGTGGCGTAAAGGGAGTAGAGTTGAGATGGGGAGCTGCTTCTAACAGGCGAAACAGTCCATCACTCAACAGTCAGTGAGCACCTACTGCTGGCCCACACCGTGCTGTGTGCTGAGTACAGCGAGGCACAGTCCCACCCTTCCTGAACTTAGAATCTAGTGAGGGAACAAGCCAAGACTGGAAGGCAGGAGCAGCAGTCCACCTTGCATCCCATCCATTTTCCTCCAGCCCTTTTAGCAGACTGCCCCCCTCAAGTCTAAGCCAACAGCATCTACACATGGATTAATTACGGCCCCCAACTGGCCTGATCTCCTCTCTTGCCACCTCGGTAATCCATTCTCCATGGGCACAGGGTCATCTTTCATAAGCCAGAACCTGAGCCTATCACGCCCCTTCTCCACACCCTCCACTGGCTCCCCACGGCACCTCATACCAAGTTCAAACTCACCCCTCCGCTGCCTCACCCCTCCTTCCCTCCAGCCACCTTGGTCTCCCTTTTGCTCCTCAGATCTGCCAAGCTTATTCCTCAAGGCTGGCTCCCTCCCAACCACCAATCCTCAGCTTAAATGCTCCCTCCTCCTGGAAGTCTTCCCAACAAGACTAAGTATGTGCCTCTACCATTCCACATCCCATCCTGAGGCAGCAAAGAGAGGTAAATGGGGCAAGATCTTGTACAAACGGCTACTTAGGAAAAGGGAACGTCCTGTTAAGATTAGAGTTTTTAAAATAACGGAGAATGGATTAAAGAGAAGCAGGAGGGAAGCAGGCTCCCTCCACTTAGGAGAACAGCAGTCCGCGCCAGAGAGAGAAGACAGGTGGACTCCGTGGAGAAACGGGGACAAAAAGAAGTGCAAGATTGGAGGAGTGTTTCTCCAAGTGTGTTCCTTTAGCCACCCAGATTACAGCCCCCCACATCCTCCCTTGGCGAGGGGCTGCTATCAGAACGCGTCCCATCCCAGACACACACAACAATTTCACCGGTGGTTTCCAGGAACCTGCATTTTGAGAACCACCGAATGGAAAAAAGCGGCGGCTGCACGGGTCCAGGGGGGACCATCCGCTCAGAGCGGGGC